AAAAAAAACTGCAGGAAGTAAAGCACCAATAACGGAAACTTCAAAAATACTGTTGGGAGTAAAGCACTGATACCGGAAACTTCAAAAATAATGTTGGAAGTAAAGCACCGATATCGGAAACTCAAAGATAGTGTTGGAAGTAAAGCACCGATACTTGAAACTTAAAAAAAATACTTTAGAAAATCTTAAAACTTTAAATACGAAGGTTTAAAGAAAGAGCAGGCGTTTACTATCCTAGTATGTTACGTACATAAATCGCTATTGCTCAATAGCTGTTAGTAGTAGTGTATTCTTATCGTCACTGGGTGCCGACAGATAAGAACCCCCCCCCCCCCTCCCTCATTGAGCTACTTAATGCAAAGTTCTTTAACTTATCAAGAAGTCACGCTAATTTGCAAATGGAGATAATCACACTGGGTAGGAAAAATAGCACGTAATTTCTAGAGTAGGCAACGATAGATTATAGGGATGTAAGATAATGCAGACAACACATTTATCAGTCGGTTTAAAAACTGCCTTTGGGTTCCAAGATGGTTTATGCATTAGAAGGTACCAAATCATATGCTACTCCAGGAAGAAATTAATTAAATAATGATCTCGATTGCGGCGAAACATCGTGGTTTGTACGTTGCTGATATAAGATTTAATATCTTTTTATACATACTACGTTTTAATAACTGCCGTGGGTATGAATGTTTATGTTCTAAAAACCGTGAAACTTTCTGGATTTAAAAATAAAAGAGGTTATTGGGATGTAATATAACTATAAAATCGTAAATCTTCATAATTGTAAACACAATATCAACTGTGTTTTCTGTACTAGCTTGGTATGGCATGTAGATGAACAAAATATTCACTAACCACCATGAAATTCAGATGGGCTAGTTGAAACAGTTTAAATGTGAATGAAAGTTGAACTGGACCAACACATGGATGGGTACATTTAGTTGGATTTTTCGCAAATGTTCCGGCCAATTATAGAGTTTTGCATGGTGGTTAAGGTTTTTTGGACTACTCACGAAAGTTCAGACTTAAAGGGAACCATGCATGGTGATTAAGATTTACCTGGCTACTCACGAATGGTCAGACTTAAATGGAACCATGCATGGTGATTAAGGTTTACCTGGCTACTCACGAATGGTCAGACTTAAAGGGAACCATGCATGGTGGTTAAGGTTTACCTGGCTACTCACGAATGGTCAAGCTTAAAGGGAACCATGCATGGTGATTAAGGTTTACCTGGCTACTCACGAAGGTTCAAGCTTAAGGGGAACAGTTCATGGTGATTAAGGTTTACCTGGCTACTGACGAAGGTTCAGGCTTCAAGGGAACCATGCATGGTGATTAAGGTTTACCTGGCTACTCACGAAGGTTCAAGCTTAAAGGGAACCATGCATGGTGATTAAGGTTTACCTGGCTACTCACGAAGGTTCAAGCTTAAAGGGAACAGTTCATGGTGATTAAGGTTTACCTGGCTACTCACGAAGGTTCAGGCTTAAAGGGAACCATGCATGGTGATTAAGGTTTACCTGGCTACTCACGAATGGTCAGACTTAAAGAGAACCATGCATGGTGGTTAAGGTTTACCTGGCTACTCACGAAGGTTCAAGCTTAAAGGGAACCATACATGGTGATTAAGGTTTACCTGGCTACTCACGAAGGGTCAGACTTAAAGGGAACCATGCATGGTAGTTAAGGTGTACCTGGCTACTCACGAATGGTCAGGCTTAAAGAGAACCATACATGGTGATTAAGGTTTACCTGGCTACTCACGAAGGGTCAGACTTAAAGGGAACCATGCATGGTAGTTAAGGTGTACCTGGCTACTCACGAAGGGTCAGGCTTTCACATTACCTTATCTGGGCTCGACTTTGGCTTTGCTTTGCCCTGCATTCCTTGATTTACGTTTGAAGAAACATTGTATTCATATTGTTAGACTGTTGCTATTAGTGACTGGTTATTCCTTTCACTTGATTTGATCTCGATCTCTAGACTTTTCCTGTTCAACCAGGAAAGAACATTGCTTTCGAGTACCCAAACAAGGCCACTAATATATCAGAGAGTGGCTCAGATATCCTTTATGTGGAAGATGTCACAAAAACCGAAGTAACTTGAAACAAGATCGGTTTAATGGTTTTCTTCACCCTGTTTTATGTGCCCAAACCGGCACATATTCGTAACTGAGAATGAATTGAGAATAAATATTAACATCAAAGATAGAACTATTTGGTATATCTCTGTATACCACAGTTTAGTTTTTGTTGGGTAACTCACGGAGGTTCGTGTTCATGGTGGAGCCGTGCATGGTGATTAAGGTTTCTCTGGGCAACTCAGAAAGCTTCAGGCTTAACGGTGGATACGCGTATGGTGGTTAAGTTTTAGCTGGGCTGCTCACAAACGTTCAGACTTAATGGGAAACCATGCATGTGATTAAAAGAAACTGGTCACTAAAACATGGTTGTTTTGTTGTTGTTAATTTCGTTATCGATATCACCGTTGAAATGCTTCATTTGAATATACACTATGAGAGAGCCTAATAAATATCCAAGTAAATACAGGTGGTTTAAAATATGTACATGTAGGACTGTTTTCCAGTCACACCATCTCGATGCATGTTTCAAAATGTTTTGAACTGTTTTACGTATTATTATTTTTCAAAAAGTTTATACTATTCTCTGTAATTTTAAGCTATATGAATCACGCAAAAAAAGTGATTCTACTTATTAGTTGTAAATCATGAGATGAAAAAAAAAGGTTTGCAGAAAATGATAAAAATAGCATCGTAGCTTAATCTAACAAAGTTTGATAACGAAAATAATTACCTTACCAGTCGAAATTGTGAAGATAAAGTAATTTTGAAAACTGGAATATTACGCATCCAAAGAATGTGAAAATAAGTATTATTTCATAATACGTCACTCGGTGGGATAACGATAAGTTTATGGACTTACACCAAAAATACGGGGTTCGATTCCCCGCGGTAGACACAGCAGCTATCCCAATGTGGCTTTAATGTAAGACAAAACAAACACAATTTCGCAGTACTTTGATGTTTTCGCTACAATTGGTTTTAGGGTAAAGAAAATATAAAGCTTTACTGAAAAAAAAGCAACATTTTGGTATTCATTTAAGAGGCTCTATGAATTATGATAACTGAGATAAAATCGAAGTGTTTTTATTCTTCGTACGTAAATCTCTTTTCATACAGATTGACTCAGTAAAGATTCCAAAAATTCACAGACAAAGCTTTAGCAGAAATACTTTATTAAAATATCTGACATCTTGCGTAAAACACACTTGTAATGTTTACTAAAAGTTAGCTAAATTTCGCGAAGGTACACTTAGTAAATTCAGAATTATACTAAACATTATTGTTTATAACTTTACAGATGCGGGGTCGGTCCAAGGCTTCGTTTTGTCTCATAGCTGTGACATCACACCGTCATTGATTGGGCTCTGCCTTATTAAATCTCGGCAATTTCCGCCGGTTTCCGTAAAATAAAATAAGGTTTCATTGTACAGCCCTATTCTGAGCGTGATGTAATAACAACGTGTGTACAAGTAGTAGTTTTTTGTTTTCCCTATGGCATCAAAACCGCAGAAGCAGATGGCAGTATTTAGTGGTGACCGGTATCCTTTGACGGGTCAAAGGATCAGTACATAACGATTCAGACTTAGGCTTAACTAAGCCAGCTCTCGGAAAATTTGACGTACAATAATTGTTTAAAAGATGAGTTAAAAATAAAATTATGTTGTTGTTGTTGTTGTTGGCTTTTCCTTACTGCTTGAGGTGGAAAGTCAAGTCAGAAAGAAACGTTCAGTACCAAGCACCTTTAAAATACTTTCATTAAATCCAACAGTGAGCAAAAAATCCATCAAAGTGCAGGGCGAAGAGAAATCCAAATTTCTTTCCACCCCTGGTTTTAAACCAAAATACCTAACTAGACGACGACATATTTAAAGATTGTTTAATCATATTGTAATAATAGTCATATTATTTATTGTTTTTAAAAAGATCAAGAGGTTGTAACATATTTTGTATTTCAATGGTATAACGCAGCTTGTAAATCAAATTGATTCACAAACTGAGGCCTGGGATCAACATTGTTGAGTCAACAGGTAAATTACTTTTAAGGCTATAAAACCTAAAGTTGATAGAACGCAGCGTGAAATTCAATTGTAGCGTCAGTGAAAATACACAAAGATTTTATTTTTGCTCTTTATAGAATCTTGCTTTCTGCAGATTTACTTAATGTTGCAATCAAATCAACAGCTTATTTACTAATGTTGCAATCAAATCAACGGCTTATTTACTATTGTTGCACTCAAGTCAACGGCTTATTTACGTTAGTTTATTCTACATTAAAGTTTTCCAGGTTAAAAAAAAAATCCAATTTACGGAAAATAACTTCGTTGATAAGGCCTAACCCAGTGTGAGAGCTTGGACAAATTGAGGTGCCTGTGTAGAACAGATGTATCTCGAGATCATCGGTAGGCCTATTTTTTGATATGGTTAAGGAATTAATCAACTGAGGAACACAACATCCGAGTAACTATTCGCGATTGTAAACAGTTGCTTAGGTCAGATAAGGTGTTGTTAAGCCTAACGACGAAAAGGCTGAAAGTGAATGCATGTGTACGCGATGTGGGCATGTTGACGTGAGCCGTCAACTACAGTATACAAGCACGTGAGAAAGTAGATATGTCAAACTTTACCACCCACCGCCTTGTCCTACTACCCAGTTTTTTCCCTTCGGTGCACATATTAGATTTGAGCTGGGAGGGACTGTCTGGGAACGCCCTTAGCAGACGGGGTGGGTATGTTCACGCGTCTCGATGAGAATCAGTTTACACTGGTCGTCTTCGTAGCAGTGAGCACGCGGACTTCTAAGAAGAAGGACGTTTGATGCATCGAGCTCTAACCGTAATTTACGCTCTCTTTGCATCATATTGTTTGCCGTAGTGATTCTGTTTTCACCCGCATGGTTGCCGTCAGCGAGATCTCCGACTAGGTGGCATGAAGGATGCGTTATTGTTGCGTACGGAGACTACAGCAAAACCCACGGTGGCGTGGCGTGTATAGTGCGTATTGAGTTACGTCTTCGTGATGTTCTTTGGTGATTTGTCAATTACTTCCAAATTAAACTAAATGCTGTTTCCTCTGATTGATTAGATAGGTAAGTCGTTGCAGATAAAATCGTATTTTAGCTGTGTCCAAGAAGAAAAATAATAGTATACATGTATATGATTTTAAGTACAAGCTCAGCTACGTCTTTACTGAAAGTGATATTTTCATTTTGGTTCAAGGTACTTTAAAATACATGATCAATTGGGGAAAGTGCCGGTTTCTTGAACACATTCCGTATGCTTAGCAGTGTGCATTTTGGTAGCTACTTTACACAATACGATACACATTTTCAACTGCTAAATATTGATTTAAGATTTCTGAAAAGTTAGCAACTGGGCCCGTGTAGAACTTAAAACCAGGAATATTCGTCAACTATGTTAAATGTACAACGGTTACAGCTTTTCTCAACCGGTTTACAACCGTTTTAATTTATTAAAATGGAAATACGTTATACCATGAATAGAGCTTTCCATATGTTTTTTCCATAGACGTAGTCAGTTATCGGTCTTAACGCTGATTATTACTTGCTGTAAGCCTGCATTCCTAATTGTGTAAGGTTGTTGGAAGAGATCGTTGTAATGTTTCTTTTAGTAGTATCGTAAAAGTTTTGAGAACATAAAAAATTACCTGTTTTACGCTGTTTGTTATTACATTACGTGCTTAGGCAACGCTGCTAACTACGGCTTCGTATAGTTTACTATTTAAAGGATTTGTTTTGAGAAGAGGTAGGCCCTACTCCAACTTTTCTTAACTGGGGGGGGGGCAACTACATTTAAGGGGGCACGGTACCCCCTAGTTAGCGCTGGCCTTGAGGAAAGATGAAACAGAAGCTCATTTTATATCACAAGATTCAAACCCAAAACGTATGACATCCATGAAAGAAGTAAAGCTTTACATATCAAAATATTATGCAGTGTTTTCTATCTGTGGTATTTAACATCATGTGTTTTATGGAACCAAACGGAAAGTAAACCATTTGAGACATATTATATTGATGTCTCCAACTACGAACATCGAACTTAATAGCTTCATCTTCTAAGCAAAATGTCGCCTTATAAATGGAAATCAATAAATAGTGATGAAAAGTAACCATTGCGTTAACTGTTTATATTTCGACCGAAGTTTAATGTTTTATGTCATATAGAATTACGGACATTGATTCGTCTCCCCTTGAAAATGGTTTTTTAAAACTGTTATGTATTAAAGCAATTTCAAGCAAATATTACTTTGTTTGTTTTGTGTTGTTGTACTGTAAGGTGATAATCAGGCTTCTCATTTTCTAGTTGCTTTTCAAGTGGCTGGCACACGTATGTTTTATATTCTCACTGTTGAGCTATTCAACAATGTCGGAGTTAAATTATTTTATATTCTGACTGTTGAGCTATTCAACAATGTCGGAGTTAAATTGTTTTGTATTCTCACTGTTGAGATATTCAACAATGTCGGGGTTAAACTGTTTTATATTCTCACTGTTGAGATATTCAATAATATCGGAGTTAAATTGTTTTGTATTCTCACTGTTGAGATATTCAACAATGTTGGAGTTGAATTATTTTATATTCTCCCTGTTGAGATATTCAACAACATTAAGGTTCATGGCCCCCACAGACCAAAAAATCGGCACGAAGACAAATAGTGTTTTCTTTTAGTTCAAAAATTTGAGAAATTAACAAAGTTCTATTTTCACAATACATACTAAAATTGCATAGTTTGCAGCATTTAACAAAAACTCACATATAAAATCTTGTTTTGAGGCTACGTTCAACTATTACTGCATTTTTTGTCCTGCATCATAGATATTACACAAAATACTAAGTACTTTTTACGAGTCTTACGCTATTTTAAAACTAGCCTAATTAAAATGATAATGGATTCGTCAACAAGATTTTACAAAATATATGAGGAAGTAAATTACCTCAAGTTTAAACATGTTCAAAATGATTTTAGTGTAAAGACGTAATAAAAGCAAGAATATATATATATGTGTATATGTAAAAAAACAAAACCGAAGTGTCTGAAATTCTAATCTAAAATAAAATTTGCCCATTGCCGGCCGTCATAATTTATTAACTGATAACACAAAATAGTTCCAACTACTATCTTTTGTGTAATAATTATTCAAAGGGTAGAGGTTGGAAGTCCGTAGAAATTTAGGGTGGTTCACTTCTACAATAAGGTCATTTAGCAACTGTCTTTTATGTCAGATATTAGAGATCCAACAACTGGTTGCAGATAGCGAAAGGTAGTAGGAGTTGAGAAGTTGTGAGTCAAAGCACTCGACTCCCAACCTCTTAATTTGATCTTCCGTATCTTTCAGTGTTATAACAACAGACACTTTCCGTTTATGAGATAACGACACGGACTGGCAATGGCCAAAATCTTTCATTTTAGGTTAGAATCTCGTTATAGACATCTGGGTTTTAGTCCTTATACAAACTGCCGTCGTTGTTATATAGTGTTGATTTGATCGCCTATACACCATTGACATAGTATCCATCGTTGTTATATAATATTGATTTTATCGCCTATACACAATTGACATAGTATCCATCGTTGTTATATAATATTGATT